CTATTAAGCATATATATATATATATATATATATATATATATATATATATATTACTCTTTATTCTCAAAATCATAAAAAAACTCTAAATAATAAATTCTAAAATTTTCAAAACTAACCTTTCTTTCTTCGATGTCATTCTTGGATCACTCTCGTTCGATCTCTCTCTCTCCTCCTAATTTCCCTCTTCTCACATTATATCTCTCTCTTTCTCTCCCAGTCTCCTCACCTCCCATTAATTCCTCAATTCAACTTCTTATATAGGTATGAAACCCTTCGACAATTCCAGTTCATCTTCTTCGCCTTCACGCGATCGAGACTCCTTGCTTCGGCTTCCACAACTCCAATCGACAGAAAACAACCCTTCGCCTTTCTCTATTTGGCTTCTAGGCAACCCAAAAAGAGCCAAGTGTCTCCTTCAACTTCCTGGCAATGCAAATGATGTCGATTGAGCTTTGTTCGGCTTCCGAAATTCCTTCACCGTCTTTGTTTTCTTCAAATGGAGTTGACCACAGCTACTAATTCGAGATATTACAATAAGTAGAATGATTATATCGTTTTGACTTGAAATTGAATGAGCTAAACATAAACGTAATGTTTGCAAACAATTTCAAGCATGAGCCAATTTCAAACAAGCAAAAATTCTAATGAATCAAACACATACACATGACAAGCTCACTCAAGCTCGACTCGTTACACCCCTACTCCCCAAGCACTTCCTTAGGAAATCCTCCATTAATCCTTCTTCATGCGCAAAGCACAAATCCAGGCAACTCCTTTTTACTGGGATCAATATGTTGTAAAATCCAAAAAATGTCAGTTTTAGACATCGCACGCTTTACGATGTGACGCGACGAGATTTAAGTGAATTTTTCAAATTCGTCGGAATTTGACGAAAATAAATTTATAAAATTCTACGCAAAATTATGAACAATTTGATATATAAACCTATATTTAATTTTGCTTAATTTAGAAATTAAAATTAATAGAAGTCTCATAATACATATTATACCCTATTAAGTACTAAAGCCAAGATGATTTAAGTGAGGGAAAAATTGGTATTTTGAAAATCCCTATACAACCAAAGCATTTAAGGGACCGAATCATATTCGGTCCGTCACTTGTTCAGCCAAACCGAGAAGAGGCGGAGGCGAGAAGCACGCGATGGACGGGTAAGGGGCGACGGGCGGCAGCTCCGGCGACTTCTCCGGCGAGGTTCCTTCCTAATTGTAGGGGAAAGCCTAAGGACCACTAAGGTATATTTCTAAACCTAGAAATCTCTATCTTTCCTTTAGATTTTTTAGATGAAGAATCTAGGGTTTGAACAAAGCATGAGTATTTTTGAAGAAGAGTGATAGGGAAGGTTTGGAGAAAATTTCTAAGCATGAAAACATGTTTTTCCCCAAAAAATTTTAAGTTTTAAAAATAGGATTTTTGCTAAATGTTAATTTTTATGAAAAATTCTTAACATATATAATCTCAAATGATCGTATTATGGTTTTTAATGATAGAAATTATGGTTTTTCATGAAAATTTTATTTTCCTAATTTTATTTTGAGGAAAATCCAAAAATATAAATTATTTTAAATTAAATTAAATTAGGCTAGGGAAAAATGGTTAATTTAGATAATATATGTAATTATACCAAAATATGAATTTTTAGAATATATACTTGCTTTGTGTGATCATTTAGAGAGAGGGAGAGGGAGAGAGAGAACTTAGGATAGTTTAGAAAGAGAAGGGGAATTTTAATTTAGATTTATTATGAAGATTTTGAAGAAGAAATTAATGTTCATATGTGATAATCGTGATTTCGAAGGAATGTGTTCGAGCGGAGTAATCAAATCCTTTAAATCGAGGTAAGTATTCATGGTTCTTTATTACAATGATACTTTTTGTTTCTCTACAGTTATATATGTTTTGAAAGACCAAGCATGTTTATAAAATTTTTATGGTTAATTTAGATCATGATTTTGTTATTCTTGTCCAATGGTTGATCATACAAACTATATGTTACATTTTATGACATTATTATATAAAGTTCATATGTTATAGAAATGAGATGATATGATTGTTATTGAATGCTTGTATGTGCATGCTGAATTGATGGAGCTCACCCCCTTATGGTACTAGCTGGAGACGGTGTACACGTGCACGTTAAAATGATAAAGAATATGTAAAATGAAATGGTAAAGAAGTACCTTTGTGGTACTAGACGGTGGCTCTTGTGACGATTGTAATATATACGAAATGAGAAGTTACGAATAATGATATGAATATGAGAAAATTAATATGAAAGGATATGGATTTATGATTTATATGTACGTTTAATGTTATGTTTATAGAAAGCAAATTTATGATATATTTATGTGACATCTAGCATATTACTCATTCTGTCTTAAATTACGGTTGTTTAGAGTCATATTTTACTTACTAAGCATTGACTTACTGTTAGTTGTTTAATAATTTTTCAGGTATAATTATTTTAAATCATAATGAGTAGAAGAGGCAGTAATGTGTACCATAGGAGAGGCGCGCCGGAAGAAAGGTAATTATATGAATATAATTGAGGTTATGTTTATGTGTTTTAAATTTTATTATTTTAGTGGCTCTTTCGAATGTTATGGTGATAGTTTTAGAAATCAGATTTTTTTTAGTCCACCGTCTGACCTCCGTTCCCGCCTCGCCTATGCGAACTCACCGGACCGAGTCGTGACATAAGTAAACCCATATCTATTTACGGGATCAAGAAAAACCATGTCCCAGCAGCGGCAGCGGGGCCTGGTCGCGACTCGTGCGCGTGGTCGCGTGGCAGTCTGGCAGCAGCGGCAACGAGGGAGGTCGCGCGTGGTTAGGTTAAAACGGGTTGGCGGGTCAACCCGGCAACCCGCCGGGTCAACCCGAACCCGACCCGTTTTACAAACGGGTCGAAATCTCTAACCCGAACCCGACCCGGTTCGGGTTCGGGTTGACCCAAACTCGAAATTTTCGGGTCGGGTTCGGGTCGGGTCAAAATGTTGACAGCTCTAACAATAATCAGTGGATATAATGCTAGGCTAACTATCGACAAGAAAACAACTCATGAAGATAAGAGGTGCAAAATGAGGAGATAATGCTACACGCAATAAGTTGTCAGGATTAAATCTCTATAGATAAAATCAAACAAAAATAATCTTATGTTTAAGAAAAACTTAAGCAAGACAGAAACTTACTTTGCACCAAAGTAAGGAGCTCTTAGAGCTCAAGTCTACCTGCCTGAGGCTATGAAAGATTATGCCAAGGAGCTTAAGACATTCTAACAATACAATCAATAAATCAATTTATAAGTGAAATAAAGCTTTTGGGTAAAACAACAATCTTATACGCCTGAAATGATGAGCCCTTGAAGAATAAGAAAGCTTCCTTGATGATTTGCAAATGAAGCTTAAGAAGAGTTACTAAAACATGAAGGAAATGAAATTTCCTACACGAGAGCTTGAGATTGTTTCTTAAACAGAAGTTCTACAAGGCTTAAATATATGGGATATTTATAGACAATAGAAGGCATTAAAGGCAGCTCAAAATGAGAGGGAAATGATAACTTCGTCTTGAAAAACATGATTATAAACTTATAATATTAAGGAGCATGCAAGAGTTTGACCGATGAGATTTCACCATTTTCCATGTCATGCTTCATAAATTTTTGGAAGGGTCCTTAGCTAATGAAAGCCTATTGAAAGAGTACATTGCACTGGTCAAAAGAGAAGCATTGAGGTACAGAACAGAAAAATGCTAGGTGAACAAGTCCTTAAAAATTAGAAAAATTCCAGGCATTTGCTGTCCTAGCATTTCAAAACTCACTCTCTCTCCTCTCTCCTCTATCTCTTCTCTTTTTCTATCATGTAAACTTACCTTTATTTTATTTGTTTGTCTCTAGCATAGTACGAAAAGCATTATATCAATCTAAATTCATAGATAATATTGTCACAGTTCAGTCTGCATATTATGCACGAATTTGATCCATTTCCAAAAGACAATTATGGGTAAGCTTTGATGGTGGTTTAGATTCCTACAAAACCAAAAAGAAATAATTTCAAAATTATATAAATCTTCTTACAATTTAGTAAGAGATTTTTGACCTAGACCTGATGGCAATTCTCCCTTCAACGAGTTAGAGCTTAAGTTCCTGCAAGAAGAAAGTAAAACATCCTTTGAAAGAAGTTAAATAAACAAAGAAGAAAGAACCACATCAAATCAAGAAAAATAACCAATACATCAAAATTGCTATGAACAATAATTAGTTTTTAAGCTAACAGCAGAATAAGATTAATGTTGACGTGATCAGAACCGAGTAATGTGACCCCAACTTCCCCTCTCTCCCTCACTCAAGCCGCCAATCATTGCAAAACTTATGTGATTTCTCCTGCCTCTCATCGCCATGGGGCTCGATTTAAGAGGGGAAGGGCTTAGGAATTTCTTATTCCCCCGCTTTCCCTACCCGGAGCCGAAAAGGATGCTTTGACCAGTCCTTTCCATTCCTCCTCCTTCAACCGATAGCAAGCAATGAGCCATTGTTCATTGTAACCTGTAATACCCGAGCATGTGAAATAATTTTTTTTTAATTATTCCTTATTTTTTGCTCATTCCAAAAATCATCAAATTTATTTTTATAAAATTCTACATTTCATTATGATTACTTTTATGCATAGAAGCATATATATACAAATATTAGTATATTAGCAAGTATAAATTAATTTTTCATTTAAATTTCTTTTCCCTATCGTATTTAATAATACTGTTGCCATTTTTTATTGTAATAAGATTTGTTTTTCCTCAAATTCGCTACAGCCATTGGCAGACTTCAAAAATTAAAAGCTGTAATGGATTTTGGAATTCAAAAGGGTATTCAATAAAGTTAAATATTAATAAAATACTAAACCGAAGCAATCCAACTAATCCTTATCCATTGCCGTAACAGTGCTGGAAGTGGAAGAAAAGGGCTCCGGTATAGAAGGAACAGAGAGCGAAAAGAAGAAGAAGAAAAAGAAGAAGAGAAGAAGAAGAAGAAGAAAAAGAAGAATAGAAGAAGAAGAGAAGAAGAAGAAAGAAAGAAAATGAGAAGAAAAAGAAGAGGAGCATTATGGATTGAGAAATTGAGGTAAAAGTCCTATTTTTGAATTTTCATCTACAAATTAAGGTTGATTTCAAGTTAGTAGGCTTCAAAACTTGAATGAGAAAAAACTTTTTTCTAAGTAAAAATATTATTTTGAGTAAAATGATTTAGTTTTGAACACGCAAATTAAGAATTTACATTAAATTCAAAAAACTATTGTTATTAGGTTTGCTTATGAAAGGATAAGACATTGAGTCAATAAGAATCAAAAAATTTGTCTCGCAGAAGATCATATAATTTGGATGAGATACTTAGGCTTCGTTTGGGACGGCTTTCTTCTTGCTTCTTAAAGCAACTTTCTAGTACAAAAATTAAAATTTTGCGCTAAAAAGTCGCTTTAAGAAGCATAAGAAAGCCGTCCCAAACGAAGCCTTAATCTCCATAGGGAGCAAATTATTCTTAAGCATAATATTTATTATTTTCTATAATTCCATTTAACTACTATATGCATGCAAATATATATTTCTTTATATTGGCATTTTTATAGGATTACTTGTTTAAATAAATTTAAGATATTTTTAATTAATTAAATTCACAAGATAATTTAATAGAATACATTATTTATTTAAGTATATAGATGTTGACTTTTACATATTATGTTAATCTATGATGAATGTTAAACAAATTAATTGATAACAAGTGAATATTAGTGCTAAGCAATTTTAAATGTCAATGACAACAATATTAAATAGAAAGAAGTAATGGAAGGTCATGTCATGTGAAATATGTCGACAAAATATGATCAAATTAGGGAGAGGCAAAAGTACTAATCAGAAGAACCAGAAATGGAGAAAAAAAAGTTTTCGACTATCAATACTAGAAAATTAATACTTTAAGTTTCAACCTCAAGAGGTCAGTTAACCTTCATATATACTCCAAATTGGGTTCAAATATATGCGATGAGAATAGCATTCAAATGACGCGATTGTATCAACTTTAAAATACCAAAATACATTGAAGGCAGCCAACTAACATAATGTCATATGTTTGAGCTCAAAATGTCTCAACAATGGTCAAGATTATTGAAATATCATTCATATGTGAAATGTATTGCATTGACGTGTTTAGAACATCAAATTTACCCAAAAATTGCTCACACGCAACTCAATCAAGCGACCACTAAAAAAGCGGTCTACAACCGAATATTGAATGTTCATGAAACAGACTACATTGTTGCATTCAGAATGTCGTAATTGTTAAGGAAATTCCTCTCACGCTCAATTCGAGCAACCGCAATAAAAAACGATGACCTACGAACATGACGTTGCATGAAGTTACTTGAATGTTATCCATTCGCAAAACAAACTTAGCCATTGCCTCTGAAATGTCAAAATTATTGAGAAATAACACACATATTGCATAGGTTGTTGCACGAGCGAAAAGCAAAAACGAGATAAATGGCATGCAAATCAAGCTACATTAGAAACGAGAAATTATTCAAAAGGTTGATTCACATCCATCTTATCTTTTTTCTATTAATTATTTTTATTTAAAAAAAATCGAAATCATATATATAATAAAAAATGATATATCCCTAAACTTATCCCTGCCCCAAATCCCGCCAAAGCCACCCCATGTTCCATCACAACCTATTTTAAATAAAAAAACATTTTTTTAATAAACCTAACCCTGCCTAAAAGTAGCTCTTCATTTTTTTTTTCTTTCTTTCACTCTACAACCCACAACCACCCCAACCTTCACCTCTTCTCCAAAGCATGTGCCTGCATCACGGCTCAATCTCGCCTAACTCTCTATCACACGTCCCAAGCCATTGCCACCCTAGCTCCTCGCATAGCTTGCCCCAGCTTGCACACCCCCCCCCTCCTTCGGTATCGCATGCTACAACCACGACCCCCACTGCTCCCCCTCTTCCCAATCGTTAATGACCTCAGTCTCTACACGTCACCTCGCATGACGAACCACCTACACACAAATCCCATCTCTCACCATCCTTGTATACACCCAGTTGATGCAGGACATGTATGAAAATTTGATTTAGATAAAAATTTTGCACACTTATTGAGTAAGATCTAATTAATTAAAATTTTATGATGATTCAAACAATGAAATAATACACAAAGAGCGATAACAAAAGCTTAGGCCAAGTCACTTGCAAAAAGTAAGAGCCACAAAACAACCAATTACTCTTGACATTACATACGAGATAGGTTTCAACAAGAAATCCCTAGTCTAACAATAAGAGTAGTGCTATGAAAGATCTCTCACACAACTCCTAATAAGTACTAAGCTTTAGCGGGAAGGATTAACACAACTTTCCATGAGTTAATTAGAACTACAATTGAGAATGACTAAAGATAAAAGAGTAGGAGGAAAGAGTTTACCCAAAGAAATAGGAATTACAAAGTTCCGGTATGATCGTTTGAAAGTGTGAGCAAGAGTGGTCAGCAACTCTAACTCCTAGCTGTCTTAGGACAGCACTTTGACAATCTCTGGGTAGTTGACAGCAGCCTCGAGGTTCGGAAGCCTTGGGGCAGTGAACGGAGTCCTCTCCAAGTGGTTGGACAGCAAGGGGGGAGCTGGAATTTTCTGAAAAGCACCTGATCTTCTCCAGGCAGCAATGGGGTGGACTGGAACCCTTGACGGCAAGCAGTTTTTTTATCCAGAAAACTGGACAGCCGTGGGAGCAACCTGCTGGGAGGAAATTCCTTCCTAGGTGGTGAGCTAGGTACTTCCAAAATCTCAATTGGAAAGAGAGAGGGGGCGGCAGCCCTTAATGGGATTGATTGGACAATTAAATGAGGTAATAATTAGGATCTAGATTTAGAAAGTTAAATTAGGAAAGAGGTTTTAATTCCAATCCCAATTAAGATTCTAATTGAGATGATTGGTGGGTCCTTTCCAAAGATAGCTTTTTGATTTTGGGAAGGAGATTTAAATTCAAATATGAGGGCATTTGAATTTAAATAGTTTCCAAACTTAGGATATTTAAATAAGGGAAGAGAATTAAAGGGAATCTCCAATTAAATTCATATTTCAAGGGATTTGGAAAGTGTCCCAATTAGATTAATCTTATTTTAGGAAAGAATTCAAATTCAAATTTATTTGAATTTGAAAATTGAAATCTTTCCAAATTTAAGATGATCTAGATTAGGCAAGTCTTCATTCCTTTCCTTAGATGAAGTTTGATGGAAAAGGAGGGCAAGTAGGGCCGGTGCTGAGGGCTTGGGTGGTGGGCGACCGGTAAGGTTATGGTGGTGGTGGGATTCTGGCCAAGAAAGGAAGAGGGGTTAAGGCCGGCGGGTGTAGTAGGGAAAGGAGGGTGGTGGCTTGAGGTGGTGGTGGTGGAGGTTGTTGGCCTGTGGTAAGGTGGGAGTGCTAGGCGATCCGACAACTAGAAGGAAGATAAATTGAAAGTAAAGAACGATAAAACAAACCACGAACCTGACCGTCTCGAAGGTTGGTGGGTGATCCAATTTCCCTCCCTAGGGATTTTTCCAAAGCTCTCTCCAAGAACTCTCAAACTCTCTCAAAACACACAAGTGCAAGAAATTTTTTTATCATCTTCATTCATTAACCTCTCCAAAGGAAGAGGGTGACTTTAAATAATCAAAATACATGAAGGAGAAATAACAAAGACACAATTGCCCTTAGGGCATAAATAAGACAAAGCCCTCAAGTGTGGGTAGAAAGGGAAAAAGAATAATAACAAATCAAATACATAAAATAGATCAAAATAAATAGGCACGATCGTAGTCGTAGATCTCTGATGTCCTCATCACCAGTACTCCCCAACCTTCTCTGTTGCCTCTTCCTATTTTCCCTTACATGATGATCCCAACCTCCAAGTCGTCGCCGACTAGCCACCTGTAACTCACACAAACCTCCCTTTCTTATACACTCTCTCTACCCTTTCCCCTCTTTCCAACTTCTCTATATCTCTCCCTAACTTTCACCAACACACTCTTGTCCCTATCTCCTCACCAAATAGCCATATCTCTTCCCCTTTCTCTCTCTAAATAGAGAGAAATTTCTCTCTCCTCTCTCATCTCTCCTCCCATTATCTCTTATCTCTCTAGACAAAGAGAGATTTTCTCTCTCTCTCTTCTCTCTCTTCTCTCTCTCTCTCTCTCTCTCTCTCTCTCTATATATATATTATATATATATCATATAATATATATATTATATATATATATATAATATATATATATATATGCATATTAAAAAAATTCAGAAAAAAGGGGAAAAAAAAAGAGAAAAGAAGAGAAATTTCCCAAAAAAAAGGAGGAAACTTACAAAAAAAGGAAAATTACATTTCACCCTACAAAATCGTCATCATCACAACCTCGTGCAAAGTTTTAAACTCATAAAACTAAATATTTTTAAAAATCCTGTTGGCGGTTCATAACAAACGAAGCTTATAAATGTTTTTTTAGAGCAGTGGGGGAAGCTTATACACCAAACTCATGATGCCGCGAGTGAGCCCTGTACACATTTTTTTAGCAAGACAAAGATATTTAAGTACATATACGCATCTTTTTTTAAGCACCAAAGAAGAATGTGAGTAACAAACAGGTACAAGAAGGCCCATATACACATTCTTAGAGTAGTAGGATAGAAGATTCTATCCTTAGTGTCGCATGACACCAACCATATATTATTTTTATAACATGGTGGGTAGGCCGACTATGGAAGCCATGCATTTATTAAGAGGTTTCATGGAGAAATATAGAGAAAATAAGGAGGATCTACATATGATATTTATTGATTTAGAAAAAGCATATGATAAAGTTCCAAGAGAAGTGCTTTGGCGAGTTCTTGAAAAGAAAGGAGTTAATAATGCTTATATTCAAATCATTAAAGATATGCATGCATGAGCTATTACTTGTGTTCAAACACAAGGTGGTTTGACCAAGTATTTCCTTATTTTGGTTGGGTTACATCAAGGATCAGCCTTAAGCCCATATCTTTTTGCTTTAGTCATGGATGTTCTCACTAGACATTTGCAAGAGGATGTACCTTGGTATATGCTTTTTGCTGATGATATTCTTCTTGTTGATAAGACTAGAGAGGGAGTTGAAGGTAAACTTGAATTATGAAGGTCAACCTTAGAGTCCAAAGGTTTTCACTTTAGTAGATCTAAAACAGAATATATGGAGTGTAATTTTAGTAGTAATAGACCTAATGAGGGGATTGTGACTTTGGGCGATCAAGTCATTAATAAGAGTACATGTTTTATATAACTTGGATCTATTGTTCAGAGTGATGGTGAAATAGATGGGAATATTATCAGAAGAATTCAAGTTAGATGGTTGAAGTGGAAGAATGCATCAGGCTTGTTGTGTGATAAAAAAGTACCCCTCAAACTTAAGGGAAAATTCTCTAAGATGGTGGTGAGGCCTGCAATGCTTTATGGTGCCGAATGTTGGCCATTAAAAAAGAAGCATAACACTAAGTTAAGTGTGGCAGAGATGAGGATGCTTAGGTGGATGAGTGGAATTACCCTTAGAGATAGGATATGAAATGAGCATATATGTGAAAAGGATGGAGTAGCTCCAGTAGAAGATAAGATTAGAGAGAGTCGCCTTAGATGATTTGGTCACATAAAACGGCGGCCTTCTGATGACCCGGTTAGGAAAGTAGATGTATTAGATTTGACTTATGTTAAGAAAGAAAGAGGCATACCTAAAAAGACTTGGTTAGCAAATATTAGAAATGTTCTTTCTTTATGATTTAAACGAGAATTTGACTTTTAATAGGACACAATGGAGAAAAAATATTCATGTAGCCGACGACCCCACGTAGTGGGATAAAGGCTTGATGTTGTTGTTGTTAGTGGGTAGGCCTAGCACCCATGCTGACATCCACCCTACGCGAGAAAGACATAGGGAGGCTGTTGAAATCCAGATTGAATAGACAAATAGAGGAAAAGATTTTGGATGGTGTTCAAATAAATATAATTGGATAAAGTTGAAAAGTGAAAGCAAAACCTCGAATTAAAACATGAATTTACAAGAAACTTATAATAAACCTGAAAAGCTCAATTGTAAGCAATAAACTTCCTTGCCAACACTAGAACACTTGCAAACAACAAGAACCCACGTAGTGAACTAAATTGAAATGAAAATGAACTGAATGTTCTCTTAATTTATAGAAAGTAAAAGATGTCGTATAGATTTTTGCTTTCAGCATCACCGTATACTTAATTCAAACAAGCAAGCAGACAGAACTCAAAAGACAACACTCTTAAAATTTAAAAAATGAAACTTTGTATGCATTTTAATGACAAACACTCATGCAAAATAATCAAATATAATTATTTTTAAATATCGCACACATCAAAAATATAATTTTCATATTTAAGCGTGCTGCCATGAGAAATGTGCTATCTTCAAAATCCAAGATAGAGTACCTATCAACATCTACATTCTCCATTTCTTACGATAACTATATTATATTGAAAGTTACATGAAACATATTCAGTAGACGTTATCACATACCTATAGAAGCCTTGACAACTATAAATTTGTGCATTATGCCCATCAAAAATAGGCATTTCAAATAAATATAAATCATAAAATCATCAATACAATAACAACAAGCTTTTATCCCATCACATGGGGTCTAAGTCCTAAGTCCTGGATGAGAAAAATGAAGAGTTGCATTAAGTAATCGATAATTAACGTAAAATTTGTCGAATAATTATGACAAAATCATAAAATATGAAAACTTTGATCAAAGGATTTGATTATAATTAGCAAATATAAACTATGGGTTTGTTTCTAAGAAATTGGAAAAAATTCTTCTGCAAAAAAAAAAAATTTCGTAGGTTCATAGTTCAAGAACATGGCTTGCACATACAATGAAAAACCTAACAAAAAGTCAAAACATTGCTGCTTAAAAAAAAAACTATGAAAACCTTGACAGAAAACTCCCGGATGAATTCATTCGAAGCTATGTTTGAAGCAAATACTTGTCAAGTGTGACAAAACTCCCACCATTTTCATTATAACACTGTACTAGAACCACCTGCATGCTCACCAGAGACAATGAGTTACTAAGTACAGAGAGAAAATACAACCACGATCTTTGTTACTTCATCCATCTCAACTAAATCTCTAGCACGTATTATTACAGAAAAGCATTTCAAGAACCAGAATTTCTAAGGATTCCATTGAGGGACCCCTTAAAGAAAAAAATCAAACACAATTACTCAGTTGAAAGGTTTAGAGCTTCTATTGATTCCATCATGGAATGACCTTTTCATGCACAAAATAAAACTCCAGGACCAAATTAAAAGGTTTTTGAAAACATATGCCAACTTAAAGTGACGCATCAACCTCACTTGCTAGGGTGTAGTTAACTCCTATAGATGTCTATTTTGTACTCTTAGACATGCAACAGCATAATAAGAAAAAGAGATGACTCTACATAAGAAAAGGACCATTCGGGTATACAAGCTCATGAAGTTTGATAAGTTCATGGTAGGAAAACCGGTTCACACTAGCGGATCTACAGTTGTGGCCTCGGGGCACCGGCCCCCACTGCCCAACCCATAAGATTTTATTTCAAAAGCTATAAGAAAATATTTTTTATTGCAGAAAATGCAATGCCACTGGCCCATAAAGCCCACAACAGTTTATTTTAAAAATTACAAGGCAATATTTTTTATTGCAGAAAAGGCAACGCTAGAGAATCCTGAACAACTGTAATAATATATTTTTATATAAGACAATTAATAGAATATAATATATACAATTTAATCATTTATTGAAAATAAATATTTATATTCTTAAAAGTCAAAAATATTATTTCACTATACTCTATTAAATAGAAAATCAAAAGAAATCACCCGAAAAAGATTGATAACATTTTAAAAATTATTAATTTGTGCTCCCACTAATAAATATTTTTGGCTCCGCCCCTGCGGCAGCTCATGAAATCCGATTAGTTTGTATAGGAGCAAAGAATGATTAGATGAGTCAAATAGTTTATCCGAAATTCCAATTCGCTCAATGCATCAAGGGGAATGCAAAGAAAGTAAAACACAAAATGGCAGAGAAAATCCATTGATAATTTTCAAACAAGAAATCACATATGTTACGAACAAATTTGAATATAACAAAATTGTAGCAATCAAAATAATTGCATTGCAAAAGAACAATATAACTTCTCGGTGTTATATAAATATAGAAAATTACATATAGCAACAATATAAAACGAAACTAGGCATCCCAAAAAAATTCGATCAACACTCTTAATGTTGAAAAAATCTTGCCATATTCAATGAGAGTCATATAACAGCACTGGAAGAAAGATAATAAAAAGGTTTTTAAAACACATGATACTTACAAGCTTACCAAGTTGGATAGTTGACTTATTTGGTCACTAACGTAACCTTTCAAACCCTGGCTCCCAAGATCACTGCTTAAGGAAAATGTTAACAAAAAATCAGCAAATGGTATCCTTTCGTTTTGGAAAGAAGAGCAAAAGCAAATGTCGTTTAGCTTGTGCGGAAGAATGCTGAGGTACTCGCTTGAACAAGAACAGAAATATTATAGTACTTGGAAAAATATTCTTTTTAAGCGTGTTTAATAGGTTTAGCCTTTTTACTTTCCAAATGATTCAAAGAAATTTATCATGAATCTTTGACGGAGAACTTGATGAGCACGTAGTGAGCCTAAAGGAAATGATAAAATCTAAATATGATCAAAGATTCTTCACCAAATTCATAAAATTTGGTGGCTGATCTCCTTGGATTTGTGTGAGTCTTTGATTATTTTTTCCAATCTTGCCTCTACTTTTTCCCAACACAAGTCTGATGTAGTCTCTCCAAGACCAGCGCTGGTTTACGGCAGGCAAAAGTTCCCCTTGGATTGAGTCCCCTCCCCCTTTGGGGTGGTGGGCCCAGGGAAGAAACTGAAATAGGGAAGCGGGGTGGCTCGGAGGGAAAAGGAATGGGCTGCTTTGGGATTTTGATATGGGATTGTATGCTTTAAGTAGATTTTACCCTAGGGTTCAGTTTCTTTTATGCTTGTGTTTGCTGATATTAGTTTTGCAAGGAGTCCTAGCCGACGGCTAGGGATTTGGGAGAGCCGGATCTTTCTCTCCAATTGATGATCAAACTATATCTTGTGTTTTCTTCTTAGTTTTTCCAATAAAAAGATCTTCTTGTGTGACCTTCTTCTTGAATTTCTTGTGCTGTTTTGCTGAAATTGCATCAACTTCCTATCAAATTGATGTCAGAGCGGTTTCCTAAGCTAAAATAAAGATCTCCCTCATTGATTTATGCTGCATTTTTCTCTCGGTTTGTGCTGATTTTGTTGTTTGGGAGACCAGATTCATATCAAATTGCTATTTTTTGTTGTTTGGAGCCTAGATCATGGTACCAATGGTAGGAATAAAGGAATAAGTATTGGAATGGAAGACCAAACAATTGAAATGTGATTTCGAAGAAATATTTTCAGATTTTCAAATTCAAATTTCAGCCATCCATCAGAAGATCTATGGAAAGTTTGCTATCATGGAGGAGATGATGAAGAAGATGCTCGAGGTCCAAACCAAAAAGGCGACGTCAGAGGCGAGGAAAGCAGCCAACAGCAAAGGGAGTGGAGGAAACCCTAATCCGATAAGGAGAAGGGAAGAACAGAAGGTGGAAAACTTGGAGGGAGAATGGAGAATGCCTCCTCAAAAGCCTATTCATAGGGAGGAGACATGTAGAGGGTATGGGGAAAGACATGAGGGGGTTCGGTATGAGCGAAGGAGTGCTAATTTTGAAAGGAGGATCAGGGATTTTGATGAAGGGATTGGGTATGAGTGTAGAAAGGATGATCATGACGCTTTGGAGGACCAACCCTGATGGGGACATCGATACGAGGTTTCGACGCGTCTATCAGAGGCAACACAGGAGATCGATGGCCACGATGGAGAGTCTTTACTTTTGATGCATTTTTATGTATTAGTCATTATTATTTCTTCAGTTTTCCGTTTTTTGCCCTTATGGGTAGTTGGTCACTATAGTAGCTATTGTCTTTTGATTATTTGTCATTGTGAGGCCTATATATATGGCCATTCTCTTATGTATTAGAGGATGAATTATTGAATGAAAATTTTATCTTGTTTCTTCTTCTTGCATGAGAGCTAGAGAAGGGAGAGAGAGCTCAAAGGGAGCAAGTGCAAGGCCCACCAGTCGTTGAAAGAGTCCTCAATTCGTGGTTTTCTATTTTATCGTCGTCTTCTCCACCTCCTCCCTCAGTCCCACCCGCCGGCCTCCATAATCCCACCACCGTCCAAGCCCACCACCAAGCTCGCCACATAATTCCCCTTCCCCAAGCCCACCGTCCACTAGCTCCACCACTCAACTCCATTTTTCCAACCACACTCCAACCCGCCCCAACCCCTTGCTGTCGACCCCTCTTCTCTCATAATTCTCATTCATTATGAAGATGTCAATCATCATAATGACTTCTAATTTAGCTCGCATGAGAGAGAAATTTCAGTTTTATTTGAAATTCAAATTATTGTCATATAGGGAGGTCCAAATTAGGAAAGTTTCAATCATGCAATCAATCTCAAAATAAATCAAAGTGGAATTATTAATTCCTTTACCTAATCCTCCACCTCTACTTGGAAACTCCCAAATCTCTTCTCTAATTCCCTCCCCCCTTCACTATGCCGCCGGCCCCCCATGTGGATTTCCCCAATAAATGCTAAATTAATTTCCTTCCCCAATTATTCAAATTCTGGAATAAATTTCAGGATTAACACTTATGTCAAGTTGATTACTATTCCATTATTGTACATAACTCTAAGCAATATTTATAATCATAATAATTATTGAGCTGAAAAGCCATCTTTTTTACTTCTTATATATGATACAAATATGCATATAATTTTATTTTTCATTTAAGTTCCTATGATTTAAAATTATGATATACCCACTAAGTCATATTTTATACTCATCCAATTAATTGATAAATAATTTTAGGAAAATTGTGGATGGTGTAAATGGAAAAAGGAGCTTTATTTACAACATAAGAGAAGCAGCCATTGTTAGGTACTTAATATTTTTTTTTTTTTTTTTTTTTTAAAATTTTTTTAAAATTTCTTTAAATATTTATTATATATCATATATTTTATTTTAAGATATATGTGTTAGGGTTTAGGGCTGGTATCTCACTGGCTGTCGGGCCGTTGCTGTAACCCTGTTGCAGTTTTGCTGTCTGGCTGTCTGCTTATAAACTGAATTTTATGTTTAATTATTTGTTGTTGTTGCTACTTGCAATTTGGTTGTTTCAATTTTATGTTTTCAGAATTCTGATTAAGTGAGGCTGCTGCCTCCTGGCTGCTGGGTGCCTGGATGTTGGTCGTTGTTGTTGCAAACTTGCAATGTTGCTGTTAAATGTTAATGTATCCGGTGAAGGCTAAACTACTTGCAATGAATTAATGTTTTATTGTTTTTGATGAATTAATGTTTTATTGTTTTTGATGAATTAATGTGAAGACTAAACTGCTAAAGAGTATAACTATGAAAGCTCAAGCAATGATGAAAAACCTTCTAAACAGAAAGTGATAGTTGTTGACCCGTCGTGTACTCGTGTGTTGGTTAATACTATTGCAACCAGGTGGTATTTGTGTTTGCTAAATGCCTAAATTCATGAGAAGATACTTTATTAATTCATTGATACTACATTAAGTCATTAAGTTTAATGCAAATTGCCGCCTTGGATGGTAATAGTTATAAAAATCGAATATGTTCGAGATTAAATACTGGCTAAATGTGTTGGAGACTTTCGAGGGTTTACCTGGGCTAATGATTAATGAAATAAAGCTTTCTGGTTATACAATTATGCAATCTAGGGCTTCACATTATTTGGAAATTTATCATTTCTATTTGTTTATTACTTTTTAGTTTTTAGCTTTTAGTGTTTATTGTTTAACCATTTTTTATTTTGCTCTTAATTCAAGTTGAATACAGGTTCAACAATCAAGAATTCAAGATGAAGTATTGAAGTGTTTGTTGTTTGCACTTGGTGTGTGTTTGCTGTTTGCACTTGGCCCTAAAATGAGAATAAAGAAGTATAATTTGAGTTTATTTGTAAAGTATTTAATTTGTATTTTACTATCTTGTAGATTGTAGATTTGTAGTTCACTAATTTGTAATAAATGATTGTAATTTCTAATTAAATTTTAGATGTTTGACGTATTATTTTGATGTTTATTGTTAAATTAATGTTTTGCTGCTAATCAACGGACTTTTTTAGTTTAATTACTGTTTCACTAATTCAATTTAACTCTATTTTTTAACAAATTTTTAATATTTTTCATGTATTTAATATTTTTCGTCTCGGGTCGTGTTGACCCGAACCCGATCCGGGTCGGGTTCGGGTCTACAGAAATGACCCGAAATCAATTCCGGGTCGTGTCAGTTACAGCCGGGTCAAATTCAGATCTGACCCGAACACGACCCGCTGACACGAATTGACAGCCCTAAGTATAGGTCACTTAGACAATTGACTTAACTTGCTGTCCACCAAATTTCTGCACCTAGTAGTAGCCTTTGGGTGAGTTTTAGGTTGTGTTCACTTGCTGTCCACACTCTAGAGTCCTTCCAAATCGCTTAGTTAACTTCGTCCATCATATTAGTTTGCTGTCCTGTTTTTTCCTGCTGTTGTTGGTACCTTTTTAGTGAGCAAACCAGTGTGATTAGCTGTTGTCCTTGACTTAGGAACTCTCCCTAGTGTCCCCTAGCACCCAACTATGGATCCAGAACACATTCAAGAAACCTTAGACCTGATTGTGGGCCAATTGAGAACGGTTACACAGCAGATTAGGTACACCCAAACGGACTTAGCTGAGTTTAGACGCCAAACGGGAGAGACTTGACAACATCGAAAAGATTGGAAACCCAGCCATCTACACCCCCTCTAGACCTCACTCTCCTTATGGCGATGACAACCGCACTGAATACGGACCTCCTAGAGACCACTACCGACCTAATCACCGACCCAATCACGAACCGGTAGGATGTGACGCACCTTGGAGAGACAACGATACCCAACTTCTTAAGAACATTAAAATAGATGCCCCGACTTTTGACGGTACCTTAGATCCCCAAGTTTTTCTTGATTTGCTCAAAGGAATGGATAGCTATTTCAAGTGGTACAATATTTTGGAAGAGAGAAAGGTCTGATTTGCTGAGATGAAGTTGACTGGTAGAGCCAACCAGTATTGGGCTAACTTAGAACACATGCGAGAAACTCGAGGAGAGTACCCAGTAACTGACTGGGGAACAATGAAGACAGAGTTGAAGAGGAAATACCTTCCCCCTTCGTACTATCCGAGACTTTTGGATCGTTGGAATAGGTTAACCCAAGGTAGCAAGCCCGTTGAAGAATACATTTCGGCCTTTGATGACTTCATAA